AGGGTGTCCCAACTTCGAATGTCTCCTTGTATCTTTGCAGATGTAAAAAAATTTTATTAACACGAGAGTTTCTCGCAACATGATACAATAATGATTACGGATGATAATGACAGTGATGGAGATTTTTTTTTAGTATCAACCTAACCTCAATGTATGACGAAAAATTATTAGTTGAGAGAAGATTTTAATTTAAATTCCAGTAAGATTAATCGTACGTTCATCGTGCTCGCCTTTCATGCACAGGCTTTAGAAAATTGGAAATTTTATACCGGGGACGAGGAAGTGATTTAACGAGGAAAATGTTACGAAACGTAACGAAAGTTTCCAGCAAAAAACACTCTGTCGATCGAGTTAACGTTAAACGTACCGTAAATTTATTTCCATCGTAGTCGGTCAGATGTTTTGTAATTGTCAGTTTAATGCAGGAAACAATATGCGAAATAACTTTCGAACGATAAGAAAAGAAAATAGATTCTTTTCATTTTTTTTTTTTTTTTTCTTTAACAAGAATCAAACGAACGATAGAATGCAGAATTTTAAGTCAAATTTTCAAATTTGAAAGCGTTGATACATTTATAGTATTAACACAAACGTGTGTCGCGCAACTATAGTTCGAAACATATCACACTGTAACATTTAATCTTCCGCGTTGTTGGACAAACCTCTTAGATTAGTGTAATTATCCTCATTTAATTTTACATTAGCGAATGTATGTAGATTAGCGTAATTTATTCTTGTTTTAATTTCAGATTATTATAATTTCATTAATTTTGTTTTAATCTAATTAATCTAATTTTATTAATTCTCGTCTTAATCTTTTTATTAACTTTGTTTTAATTTTCGAGTATCATAATTTGATTAATTTTAGATTAATTTATCTTGTTTTAATTCAATGACAGTTTTCTAATTTTTAATTTTAACCTTTCTCATTTTTCAATTTTTTGATATCAGAACGTGTTAATAAAATTCTCCCGCGATCGTTGAAAACGGCCAGACAGACGTCTTTCCCTGTACAAAGGTAACCTGTTGATCGGCAAGAATAATCAACAGCCTCGTCGCAGGAAAAATATCGTTTTCAGCCCCCGAGTTTTCGAACGAATCTCGCAACAGCTCGCTCCATTCATTGTTTCAAAATCGTAGTACGATAAAAGTTTGTTTCGTTGATCTCTGCGCTCCGTGAGTCATGAGAACAGACAGGCCGATAATATCTCGTGTCTGGAGTTCAGCCGATAGAGCTCGAGGGCGTGGAGGGGAAAGGAGAGGGAGGAGAGAGAGAGGGCTTGTCGCAGGCGAGGGCCGCGAGGCTGATCGATGGAACGTGACCGGGTCAGAGGGTTAATTAGTTTCCGGCTGGCGCGCTAAAAAATTCGAGCGTGTCGAGGGTCGAGGGTCGAGGGTTCGTCGCCGAGTTTTCAAGCTTTCAACAAACCGAGATATCCCGGTCGTTAAGAAGAAAAAAAAAAAAAAAAACAACGCACATACACACGATATTGTCAGATTTCTGTGATCCCCGATTACGACTCGATCGAGTGGAAATTCACGATCGCAATTCCGACGGATTTTAACGCGTGAAACGAAGCTTGAGATGGGAGAGGGGGGGGGCGTTCTCAGGAGTTTCTCCCTCGGTCTGATTAATTGTCCGCAGTCTGTATCCATTATTCGTCGCTCGGCGAATAATTCGTAGCGCTTGAAAGGATAGCGCTCGATATTCACTTTCTTCGCTCCCTCGTGTCAAGACCTAAACGTTTGACTGACGGCCGCGTGTTTTTCTCGCCGCCGGTGGGATATTTAACCACTTGCGGATCATAACGAGTGACCCAAACCGTGTACAATAATTTTTTGAACTCGTCGGTATGATGTCACTGGATAGGAATTTATTGAGAAGTAATAGACTTATCATTTGTTTTGCCTATTATCTGTTTTACTTAAATATATTTAAAACTGAGAAAATATTACGATTTTGGGACAAAATATTCTCGACGTGCGCTGGCAACTGATTGCGGACCATAACGAGTGACCCAAACCGTGTACAATAATTTTTTGAACTCGTCGGTATGATGTCACTGGATAGGAATTTATTGAGAAGTAATAGACTTATCATTTGTTTTGCCTATTATCTGTTTTACTTAAATATATTTAAAACTGAGAAAATATTACGATTTTGGGACAAAATATTCTCGACGTGCGCTGGCAACTGATTGCGGACCATAACGAGTGACCCAAACCGTGTACAATAATTTTTTGAACTCGTCGGTATGATGTCACTGGATAGGAATTTATTGAGAAGTAATAGATTTATCATTTGTTTTGCCTATTATTTGTTTTACTTAAATATATTTAAAACTGAGAAAATATTACAATTTTGGGACAAAATATTCTCGACGTGCGCTGGCAACTGATTGCGGACCATAACGAGTGACCGTATACAATAATTCGTCGTTTTCTTTTTTTTTTTTCGGTACGATATCACTGGATAGAATTTATCGTGAAGTAATAAATTTATTATTTGCTTTACCTATTTTGTTTTACTTGAATATACTTAGAACCGAGAATATATTACAATTTTGGAGCAAAAATTCTCAAAAAAAAGAGGTTAACCGCTTGCGCTGGCAACTGATTGCGGACCATAACGAGTGACCCAAGCCGTATACAATAATTCGTCGTTTTCTTTTTTGAACTCGTCGGTATATCACTGGATAGAAATTATTGAGAAGTAATAAATTTATCATTTGTTTTACCTATTTTGTTTTACTTAAAACTGAGAAAATATTACAATTTTGGGACAAAAAATCTCGACGTGCGTGGCAAGAGTTTAGAAAAAAAAGAGAAAGCCGTATTTCAAAATCAAATTGTTGCTCTCGAGTTCCAATCCACCGCAGGGTGGAAACTCTTTCTCCCACGAGGGAATTCGCCGATAAAAAATGAAAAGCAAATTGGTTGGATTAGCCGCACGTTTCCTCTAATATTTAACCGACTCGGACTGTTTTCCGTTTCGCCCCCGGAATTCACGGCACGCTACCGTACAATTTGAACGTCGGCTATCGCTTGAAATATCGTTTCCAGCTGGCTTGGTCGAGCGTTTCGCCATCGTATCCCGACTATTCCCGATATTTTACTCGAAAATCACGTTTGTCGTCCCGTTGTTTTTATTCCTGTTTTACCCGCGGTCGGTGGCAAATAAATTCCGCCGCTTATTGTCGGAGGATCGGTGCCGAATAATCAGAGAATTCACAGTTTGTAAAAATCCGCACGCTCGCGGGAATTTGGGGAAGTTTTAAATCATCCCCGAGATATCATCGCCGTTTACGGCTAATTAGATCGAACTTTGTTCTCTATCGCGAGAACTTGGGCAACGAACTTTTCGCGATAACGAGCGCCGGAACATTGTTTGATGAAAACTAGCGGTGGATCGATTCGTAACCACCGATTCTCTCTGTTTGCAAAAAGAAAAACCACGAAGAGAAAAGAAAAAAAACGCTTGTAAAATTAAAAATCGACGAACACGAAGAAGAAGTAGCTTCGCAAAGTGGGGTTGATAGCGCAAACAAGCGTAAAATACTCGGAGTATTTCAGTCGGGAGATCCCGAATCGAGCGATCTCGAAACAAAGGCCGTGTATAATAAAAGAGGTTACGTCGTCGTAATCCATGAAGTGCGTGAAAATAAAAGTTTCGGTGGGAACAAAAAGAAAATAGTTACGATGGGTATCAAATAAGTAATAGTGGGCGCCAGACGTATCGATCCGACCTCCCACGTTTCTGAAACCTTCACGAATGTTGAGAAATTTCCTTCGGCTAGGATGATGCGCTCATTCACGATTTTGGTCCACGCAGTTTGATCAATACAAATACTTGCGTTTGAAACTTTTCTAACGCTAACCATACCACGCTCTTCAAAATTTTAATTTAAAATTGTATTGTTACTATACTTGTTACTTGTTACCTATTGCTGCTTGTTTTGTTTGTTCAACTTTATGAAAATTCTTATATTATATTGTAATTCTTCTTTCTCCTCTTGCTTCCTTTCTTCACTGAGTGAAATTTATTTGTTTACCGCGAGTCGACAAATTTATAAGGTTGCTCTTTGCTCTTGGTTCTGAATTCAAAAATGATTCAGCTGTAAATGCACCGCTGGCGATAAAATTTCTAGAAAAAGAAAACAGAATGACGTTAGTTGGGGACTTAAGGGAACGTAACGGAAGAGAATTACCAAAACTTGCAAAAGCGAAGAAAAAATGACACGACAAATAGTTTACAAATCAAATGATTGTACTCTTACAATTTAAGTAAGATCAAATCAAGGAAAAAAGTTGTGATACTAAATATGTTCGAAGCATAAATGTGTAAAAATCGAAATAACATGATTATTTCGTTATTATTTAAAAGCTATCTGGTGGCATCACTTCCTTGTATTACAACAAGTGGAAAATCACCTGTATGTCTTTCAGAAAGACAACGTTTATTTAGAAACTGAATTATATATGTAAATGTTAAAATATTTATATTATAATATTATATAAAATGTCAATATATATATATATATATATATATATATATATATATATATATATATATATATATATATATATATATATATATATATATATANTTGCTATTTTTATTTAGCATCAGGAATACTTTAACATTTACATATATTTTAACATTTTATATATATAATAATATATAATATAATACACTAACATATTTATATATTTATACATTTATATTATATATATAATATTGTCCTTTATATAATATAATATATATGTTAGTGTATTATATATATAATTACATATATAAAATGTTAAAATATATGTAAATGTTAAAGTATTGCTAATGCTAAATAAAAATAGCAGATAACAGATAACAGATAACAGATAACAGATCACAGTGAAAGTAAATACCCAAAGTATCGGTAGACGTCGCGCGAAAAACACATCGAACATTGAACATCTGGGTATTAATTCTCTTCCTATTTCATTTCCCTTTTTTCTGTTCGCAGGGAAACAATCCGAGGAACGGGTGCCCGGTGTGCGAGAAGCACTGTCCCCAACGACAAACGAAATCGGACGAGTATCTCTGCTGGAACAAGCAACACTGCCAACGAAGTATATGTCCTTTTTCTCTGTCCTATCTCCGATAGTTGTAAATTTCGCGTGACGATCGCGATAATCGTGTTTTACAAAAGTGGCGAGCGCTTCTAGAGGCAGCGCCGGGTTGATACAACCGATTGATAGAAATAACACTACGCACGCACACGTCGCCGCCACCGTGGCGAGGCAGTTTCCAAATGTGCATAGTTGTTTACACCGCGTCTGAAGACATGACAACCGTCTGAAAATATCGCCGGCCAGAACAAACGCAGCGCCAGAGAAAGAGAAAGAGAAAGAGAAGTCTAAAGCGCGTGTTGGCTAATGCTAATTCGTGACGCCGGTGACGTTGCAAGGGAAATTTCCGGCGTTGAACGATCCAGGAAGATAAAGGAACACGCACGATCCCCAGCGATGTCTATCTTCGACGACTGCCGCTCCCACGCGCCGCAACGTGACGCGACGCGACAGCCTACTCTCCCTCTCGATCGCCTACTCCCCCGCCGTGTTCGTTCCTTCCTTCCGAAACTATCCGATGATTCGTTGGTCTTGCGAAAAATGGAAGCTGTCTGACGGCCGCGAGGGGCAAACGGGCGAGAAATTGGCGGCGACGCGACACCGTAGGCGGCTCGCCCCGACGTGGGCGCCTAACAACGACTCTAAATTACGACAAAAGTCGACAGCGACGCGTTAAAACGTTTCTCCCTGGCCAACGTCGATAATCGACCTCCAAGCGACCTACGACGTTCCGCGGTAGCTCGAACGTGGCAACGTTCGACTTACGAATCGCTGCTTTCTCTTTGCCGAAAAATTCACCGCGCGTCTCGCCGATCGTTCAGCGTCGACATGTTCATTAGCGGGGGTTGCCCTTTCGCGAAAATTACACGGAAAGTTGGGAACGCCGGTAGCCACGCGTCGTCCTCGCGCGGAGGAGACGTGACTGGACTTGATCCTGGTGGGACGCGGCGCGACGGCTTGTTTACTCGTGTATAAACGGCGCGCCGCTCGCGGCGCGGCTGCTAGAATATTTATAAAGCCTTCCGTCCGTTTTTCAGAGTTCCACGCGAGAGTTACTCTCGAGAGTTACTCTCTCAGGCGTTGTCTTCATTCCGGAGCAGCTTTGAGAATTTTCACTCTCCGATGGAACTCTCAAAAAACCGCGTCCATTTGAGAGTTGATTGCCTCCGGTCCTCTGCTCACTGTTTGGCGTTTAGCTCGAAACTAGAAGTGACATCGCTATCGTGGAGGTGCAAAAAAATGTGTGCCCTCGTGGTTGCCCGTAATATTTTAAGAAGAAAGGAAAATTAACATGAAAGGAAGAGTTCAATTTGATTTAAATTATTATATAATATTCAATATAATTAAATATTATGTAATATTTATATTTATGTGTAATAATATTTACATATAATATTTAAATTATTATATAATAATTATATTACATAATATTTATAATATTTATATTTGCATTTATATGTAATATTTTAAAATTATTATATAATAATTATATTATATAATATCATAATAATTTATGTTTATTTAATTATATAATATTGTATAATATAATTAATAACATTATATTATATAATAATTATATATATATAATATTTAAATTATTATATAATAATTATACTATATAATAATAATTTATTATTATTTATAATATTATTATTTATAATATTTATAAATAATAATAATTTATTATTATTTATAATATTATTATTTATAATATTTAAATTATTATATAATAATTATACTATATAATAATAATTTATTATTATTATATAATATTATATAATATAATATTATATTATATAATATAATTAAATATCATACAATATAATTATTATGCAATAATTTAAATTAAAAGAAATTAGTTCAATAATTTCACTTTTTTATTATTCGTTATTCTGCACGCGCGAGAGAGTACATTCACGATTTCTCGAAACCGTATAACAGTTTCCATTTGACAGTAACTCTAACCTCTATCCTCTTATCAGAACCAGTGTCCATTTGCGAGAACGACTCGCGACAGTGTTTACTCTCCAGTGGACAACCTAGGTTAAGTTACAGCGAGTTATTTAAAAAAAAAAAAAATAATTCTTTCGTTTGCAGTCTGCGAGCAAAAGTGCGAGAACAACGCGTGCGACGAGTTTGGAACTTGTTGCCATCCGTCGTGCCTCGGCACGTGCACCGGCCCGACGAACCGGGACTGCGCCGCCTGCAAGGATGTGATCACCATGGACGACCAGTGCGCTGAACGGTGCCCGAACGGCACGCTAGAATTCATGAGCCACCGTTGCATCGAGGAGGACCGGTGTCTGAGGATGGAGAAGCCGCGCGAGGCGTTCAACGCGAAGAACTACCCGTACAAGCCGTTCAACGGCAGCTGCGTGATGGAGTGCCCGCCTGGTTACATGGACGAGGAGTCGAGCAGCAAGGTCTCGTGCAAAAAGTGCGAGGGCCCCTGTCAGAAGGAGTGCGCCGGGACGAACGTGGACAGCATCGCTTCCGCCCAGAAGCTGCGCGGCTGCACGCACATCGTCGGCAGCCTGGAGATTCAGATACGAGGCGGCAAGAATATCGTGAAGGAGCTGGAGGACAGCCTGAACACGATCGAGGTGATCGACGGCTACCTGAAGATCGTGCGCAGCTTCCCTCTGATATCTCTCAACTTCCTGAAGAACCTGCGGGTCATACGCGGCAACGACATCGACAACTCCAAGTACTCGCTGCTGGTGATGGACAATCAGAATCTGCAGGAACTGTGGGACTGGAGCGCGCACAACGGCATCAAGATCCTGTCGAAGGACGGCCCTGGTCGGATCTTCTTCCACTTGAACCCGAAGCTCTGCCTGTACAAGATCGAGACGCTGCGGAAGAAGGCCGGCCTGAGGCCGTTCACCGAGTACGACGTGGCGCCCAACAGCAACGGCGACAAGGTCGCGTGCAACGTGACAGAGCTGAAGACAAAGGTCGGCAAGAAGTCGCCGTGGGGCGCGGTGATCGAGTGGGAGCCGTTCGTTCACCACGACGCGAGGTCTTTGCTCGGGTACGTGGTGTACTTCATCGAGGCGCCGAACAGGAACGTGACGATGTACGACGGTAGGGACGCGTGCGGCGGTGACGGCTGGAAGGTGGACGACGTCTCGGCGACCACCAACGCCACGGAGACGAGCAAGTTCGGCACCAGCCGGCAGGAGAAGAACGTGCACACGCACTATCTGTCGCAACTGAAGCCGTACACGCAGTACGCTTATTACGTGAAGACTTACACGATCGCCACGGAGAGGTCCGGGGCGCAGAGCAACCTGACGTACTTCAGGACAATGCCGGAAGCTCCTAGCGTGGCCAGGTCCCTCATTATCTGGAGTAACTCGAGCAGCGAGCTGATCATGTCCTGGCTGCCGCCGCTTCACAAGAACGGCAACCTGACGCATTATCGAATCTTTGGCCGGTGGGAGCCGGACGATCCCAACTTCATCGATCAGAGAAACTACTGCGAGGAACGTGAGTAAACACCGACGATTTGAAATCGACTTTCCTACCCTCTTCCTGGACGTCGATCCTTTGACCGCGCGTCAATTAAATTAACTTTTACGTATTACGTAATTTCGATTTAATCTCGCCATCTAGTCTAACAAACTCGTTCGTTTCGTCTACGTTCAGCCATGATGCTGCCGGATAAGAAAGCGCTCGCGGAGGAGGAAAGGAAACGGATGGAGGAGGAGAAGGAGCAGATGATGCCGGAAACTGGTAGCTGCGACTGTCTCGATCGCGAGACCGACCAGTCACTCCGCGAGAAGGAAGCGTCCAGCGCGATCGAGTTCGAGGACGCTTTGCACAACCAGGTGTACATAAAACGAAAGTCGAAGAAGAAACGCGACGTTTCCGAGATGTCGTTCGTTTCTCGAAAGACGAAGGCGTTGGACCAGGTAAAGCATCCCAATGCCGAAGACACGTTCGTGGTTTGAAATGCATTCGCTGTAATTTATCATCTGTCATCTTACTTGTCTCGACACAACCACAATACTGTGGTTTGAAACTTAAATCTTGGGTAACAGACTGTGCAGTGAAATTAACTTGCACTTTTGAAAAAAGACCTTGTAAAGCTCTCCCCTTTTGCATACTTTGTTCTACAATTTTTCCTCTTTCACTTACTCCTTTATATTTATTTATTCCTTCCTACTTGATATTCTTCCTACTTAATATTTCCATCTTTTTTTTATTGTCGTTTATTACTGCAACTACCACATCTACGTATCTATCTCCATCACACTTGTCTTATTATCATTCACTGTAATTCATCTTATTTGTCTGAACGTACCATAATACTGTGTTTGAAACTTAAATCTTGGGTAACAGACTGTGCAGTGAAATTAACCTGCACTTTTGAAAAAGGACCTTGTAAAGCTCTCCCCTTTTGCATACTTTGTTCTACAGTTTTTCCTCTTTCACTCACTGCTTTATATTTATTTATTCCTTCAACCTACCTCCCTACTTAATATTTCCATCTTTTCTTTGTCGTTTATTACTGCAATTACCGCATTTACGTATCTATCTCCATCACACTTGTCTTATTATTATTCACAGTAATTCATCTTATTTGTCTCAACGTACCATAATACCGTGTTTGAAACTTAAATCTTGGGTAACAGACTGTGCAGTGAAATTAACTTGCTCTTTCCAAAAAGGACCTTGTAAAGCTCTTCCCTTTGCATACTTTATTATCATTCTATAGTTTTTCTCTCCACTTACTGCTTTATATTTATTTATTTTCTTTCTCTTCGTTCTATCTTCCTACCTAATATCTTTATTTTCATTTATTACTGCAACTATTATATCTGTGTATCTATCTCCATCTCACTTACCTTATCATTCACTGTAATTCATCTTATTTATTAGTGTGCCACGATACTGTGTGTTTAAAATAATCTTGGGTAACCGTGCAATGAAATTAACCTGTTCTTGAACTTGCTATGTAAAAAAAGGACCGTACAAAGTCCTTCTTATTGTACAGTTTTTCTTTCTTTACTTACTATTTTGCATTTAGTTGCTCTTTCAGTCTATCTTACTACGTAACATCTCTATTTTCATTATTTTTATTTATCACTGCAACTACTGTATCTATCTATCTTCATCTTATTATCATTCACTATAACTCATCTTATTTATCTCAACATACCACATAACAACTGTCCTTAATTTTCATCTTGACGCTTGCCCTTGTTACTTCTTCTGTTTCTCTTTATATGTTAAAAGTTGAAAAAAAAGTCATCCGCGACCAGTCGCGTTTGTTATTACTACAGCCTGCGATGGAGAAAATCGAGAACGGGACGTACACGGCGTTCGAGCAAGTGGTGCCCAGCACGAATCTCTCGTTCGTGATGAAAAACCTGCGTCACTTCTCCGCGTACAACATCGAGATACAGGCGTGCAGGGCGCAGGAGATGAACGACACGTACAAAAAGTGTTCGACGAAAAGCATGAGGACCTACCGCACGCTGCCGCTGGACAGCGCCGACAACATTCCGCCGAATACTTTCAAGATAAGCATTTCAGGCGAGAACAACAGCCTGACGATGGTCACGCTTCAGTGGGACGAGCCGCCTCAACCCAACGGTCTGATCATCACCTATCAGATCGAGTACAAGAGGGTTGACATACAAAACGTGAGTGTGAACTCCTCTCCGGCGGGAAGGGGTGTCGACCTCGCGGATACGCGAAAGTTTGAACCGATCCTGCGAACGAAGGGACTATTAACCGTGTTTCAGTACAAGCCGACAGTGGTGTGTATCACCAGGCGGGATTTCACGAAGGCGGGCAACTCGTACGTCCTGAAGGAGCTTCCGGTAGGGAACTACTCGGTGAAAGTTCGGGCGACCAGCCTCGCGGGCTACGGCGCGTACACGCACGTGAAGTACTTCTACATCGACGAGAGGAACGGCATGAGCACCTTCTGGCTAATATTCTGGGTGTTGTTCTGCGTGATCACGGTGATCGTCGGCGCGTTGGCGTACCTCTGCAAGCGGCGGTACTTCAGCAACGGGCCGAACGTCACGCTGATCGCTACCGTCAACCCGGAGTACATCAGCACGCCGTACGTGCTGGACGAGTGGGAGGTACCGAGGGAGAAGATCGAGATGCTCAAGTCGTTGGGGACCGGAACGTTCGGCATGGTTTACGAGGGCATAGCCAGGGACATCGTGAAGGGCAAGCCGGAAGTCCGGTGCGCGGTGAAGACGGTGAACAAGGACGCCACCGATCGTGAGAGGATAGAGTTTCTCAACGAAGCATCGGTGATGAAGTAAGTCGCGCGACGTCGAGATTCAAAATTTTACGTATTTACTTTTAAAAGAAACATTCATTTTCACTACTTTAAACTACAAATAATTTTATTAATTCTAAATTGTTACTAAAGTAATTTTATATTTTATATTTTATATTTTTAGGATAAAAATTTATTAAATTATATTAAATTAAAATTATATGTATATATATATATATATATA